GCCCCTTGGGGCTGCCCAGCTCAAAGGAACAGAATAGACAAAAGCCATGCCCCCCTGCCTGTGGGCACAGCAGGCAGCATCTGCTGGAAGCCTTTCCCTGGGCAGCCAAAGGCCAGAAGCCCTGCCCCCCACCTCACCTGGTGGGCCCCCATGTCAGCTGAGCCTTCTTTCTTCTCCTTGTCCTTCTTGTCCTTCTTGTCCTTCTCCTCCTCCTTCTCCTTAGAGTCAAAGTGCTCACTGCAGATGTGGAGCAGCTGCTGCACCTTCAGCACATTCCCTGAGCCTGTAGGCAAGACAGGCCCGTGGGATTGTCGTTATGAGAAGGAGGGGCAAGGTCCTGGAGCCAACCCCCTCTCAAACCCCAACACTGCTGGGCAGGGCTGGGACTCACCAGCATAGGCACAGATGTCCACCAGGGTGTTGGCAAAGCTGCGGAAGGGCTCCGACACCACCTCCAGCGCTGCCAGGATAGCCTCGATTGCCTCCCCCTTCCCTGCAGGGCAGCAGCAAGGCCTGAGAGAGCAGCCAGGCCCAAGGATAGAGACTCTGCAGGTGCCAGGAGCTGGTGCCCAGCTGGAGGCCCTCAGGAGGGCACCTGAGCTCGCCTTGAGGGACCTCTCTGACCTTAGGCAGCCTAGAGCAAGCCAGAGCACCCCACACCCCCAACCTTGCCTTAGCCTTGTCACTTGCCCGGGTACTACTCCCTTGACATCTGCTCAGCTCCCCCAGTGCTGCCCCCGCATAATCCCAATCCCACAGGCCTTTGCAACTGCAGGGGATTATGGGGTATAGTAGAGCAAAACCATCGTTCAGGCCACAAACCAACAGGTGTGGCCTGTGTAACTTAAAAGCTCCTGCTCTGTAAACCCCAGCATAATGGGAGGACCTGCAGAGCAGCCACACCAGCCCCACAGTCGAGGGGACACCCCACTCCCCATAGCCCCAAGCATGTTCTGCTCCTGCCCCACCACCCAGATCCAATGCCACCCCCAGCCCTCCCCTGGGCTCATCAACCCAGCCCCAGCCTGCAGACAGTGCCTGCCTGCCCAGCTGTACCCAGGTGGTTGAGGCCCAGGCCGAGTGGCAGCCAGCGAGCATAAGTGTCCTTCAGCTCCGTCTCAGACTTCTCCATGATAGTCTGGAGAATGGTGGAGGTGACGTCCCCATTGCAGGAGCCCACAGCAATCATGCCACAGGCCAGGGCTGTCACGCCGGCCACCTGGCCAAAGGAGAGAGCACCAGTCAGAGACTCACTGTCCCAGCACTGTCTGGTCACAGCCCAAAGGAGGCTGCACCTGTACCCGCCAGGCCAAGATTAAACTGAGTATACACCCAGCCTGGCTCAGGGCTTGGGAACAAAAGGGCCCCAGAGCCAGGCTGGGTGGCTCAGAGCTGCTCCTGGGGAGCTGCATGTGGCTTGTGACTCAGCAGAACCCTGATTAGTTTTGGGGGGGGATCCTGAGTGATAAAACAAATTAGATGACCCTAGAGGCCCCTGCCAAAGCCCATGAAGATGCCTGGGTAGGGGCTGCCCCCAGAGCCATCAGCCCCTGATAAACAGGAGAGGCAGGGCACTCAGACACACTGGGGCTTGGGGCCTACTGACCTCCCCACTGCCCGTCATCAGCTACCAACTCCATCCATGCTGAGGAGCTGCTGAGACAGAGGTTAGCAACATCTCCACCTCCCAAGGCAACGGCCAATTCAGCCCTCCTGGGATCAGCGTCCTCAGTGGTTCTCATGCAGAGACAGGGGAGTGCTGGGGGATAGCAATTCTGGCAACCATAGGGGCACAGGTGACACCTGAACACCCTCCCCAGCCGCTGGCCCACTTACCTCCATGCTGGATTTGGAGTCACCCATGACAGGGAGCAGCAGAGTCAGGACATCCTCACGGTTGGAGCCAGCATAAGCCAAGCCAAGCCTGCAGCAGAAGCCCACAGGACATTAGTAGAGCCAGGGGTGGGGGGCCTGCCCCATGGGGTGGGCAGGTAGGCAAGGGGCCGGGTGGGCCTTACCCAAAGATGGCACCGATGCGCATAGTGTTGCTGTTGTGCAGAACATAGTCGGAAAGCAGCGCCAGTGCAGGGTCACACTCATTCCGCACCCCTGAGTTCACGATGCCACAGGCCAGCAGGGCGCCTGACTACAGGGCAGAGACACATCAGATAGAGCCCCAACATTCCCCCAACAGGTAGCAGACAGTATCATGCAGGTGGCCAGGTGGGAGACTGCACTAGAGGACTGCAGCCCCCATTGTGCAATGCACCTCCATCCCCAGCTCGGAAGCTCTGCTGGCTGGGACCTGTGGTTTCTCAAAGCCACATCCACGTGGTACAGAAGCCCCTAGGTCCCCCCATGAGTGCCCCAGAACCTCGCTTCTGCCATCAGGGCTGGGACTTCAAGCACGTGGGGCATTAACCATCACTTTGGGCAGGTGGGGCCCTGTGGAGAACCACAGCAGCAGAGCCATGCAGGATGGGGGGAGGGCAAGCAGGCCCTTGTGCCTTGGCAAGGCTGTGCCCATAGCCATGGTGACATAGGAGTGCCAGGCCAGGAAGGCAGCGCCACCCACCTTGATGTAGTCCTCAGAGGAGTACAGGTACTTGTCAATCTGTGTGAGGCCCCCGTCCACATCCCACAGCAAGATCATGCCCAGTGAGGCCGCAGCACTGAGCATCCCTGCATCATGAGCACAAGAAGGTCAGATCAGTCCCTGCCCCCACATAGGCCCCTCCATGGTCCATTTCCCTTCTTCCCACTGCCAGGGCACACCCAACACTTCCAACAGGGGAGTGCTGGCCTTCCAGAGCCCGGCCTGGGGGAGGCTTGTCCAAGTCCAGGGTGCCCAGATCTCTGTGGTTGCTGGCTAAACTGCCAACCTCCTGACAGTCACCTGGGACGTTTCCTAGGGGGTGACATGTGGGTCCCAAACCAGGCAGCTGACCCCAGACAAATGTGGCATTCAGAGGCCTCAGCACAGGGCCAAGGAACAGGCAATGGAGGCAGTGTGGGCAAGCCAAGTTGTCGTCACGTATTAAGAGGAGCAGCTGAGACCCACGGGTAAGCCTGAACGCAGCCAAGGATGCGCTGGGGCTGGAACCCCCCCCAACTTGGGGAGGGGAGTACTACAGAAAACTGCTTCCCGGAATGCCATGCTGCCTAGCAAATCAGCCACTACTGAAGCACTGAATGCTGGGAAGTGCACCCCTCCCCACATGCCCAATGGAACTTCAGTCCGCTCAGCCTCTGCTCTAGTCAGGCCCGTGGGCAAGTCCAAGCCTGTACTGGCTAGCTGCACCTGTGGCAGCAGGCATGGGCTGAGACGTGAGGGTACACCAGCTTGAAGGCCAGGGCTCAAGCCATGTATAATGTGTCCAATGTCCCCAGCCCTTTAGGCAGGGTCTCCAGGCAGATTTCCCCACTCCCTGCCCACCCGCACTCACCATGGTCCTTGTTCTTGTAAAGCCATTTGTTGCCATCATCGGTCAGCAGCTTGTCCTGCCCAAAGGCAGCATTGACGAAGCCGTTGACAAAGGAGGAGGCCAGGTTCATGCGAGCTGAGTCCACTTGCGAGCCACTGCCGCCAAACCCTGGGATGGGATCATAGAAAAGCTGGGCAGCACCACGGCATTGCTTGGCCAGGGCCCTCTTCAGGGCAGGGGACGTGACCAGGCTCTTCTAGCCTCCCTGCTCCCCGAGGCACCAGGGGCTGCTAGGGTAGTGTCCAGACCCGGCCCCAAGGCAGCAAGAGTTCCAGGTGCCAGAGGACTGCTACAGCAGACGGACATGGCCAGAGGGAACAAGCCGGATGCCCCACCACATCCAGGCTGAGGCAAGCCTAGCATGGTAGGGCTGGGCTCAGCTGGGGCCTTGCTTGGAGCCCTGACCCCCAGACGCCTCTTTACCCAGGCATATCTGCCAACCTCACCCCCTTGCTGAAGTACAGGACAACATGACATGGCAGTTGAAGCCACACTCACTGTTGTTCTCCAGGTGGGTCTTATAGATGTCATCTGGCACCTTGGGTTCCATGATGTCCAGCTGGAGAGAGGGGGAAAGCAGGCATTACCTCCCAGTCAGCAGCAATGCCTTGCCAGGCCGAACCAAGCCACAAACCCCCAGCTGCTCCCTACCCTGCACACAGAAAATCCTCAGGGCCCCCTCCCAGACCCACCCTGGCGAGGCACAGGAACAGAGCTGCCATCCCTCCTTGTAAGAGGGGCCAAGTGCCAGCCTGTTCCTTGGCACCCAGTGTGGGCTGGGGCTTCCATCCCCTCTTGGCTGCAGCCCCATGCCCCTCCCCACCAAGGCCAGGCCTCACCTCCCGGGCCAGGGCCAGGAAGTTGCTGTTGAGCTGCACATTGGACATGATCTCAGTGAGATCCTCATACTCCTCTACATCCTCGTTGAGCTCCAGGAAGACACCGTGGCGCCCCAGCATGAAAGCCATCTGCTTCTGTACCACCCTGCATTGGAAGGCACCAACAGGTGTCAGGGTCGGGACCCTTGCCTCGGAGACATGATCGGTGTCAGGCCCCAAGCACCAGCCTGGAGGCGGAGACCACCCAGCCTGGCTCTCCCACTTCCCAGGAAGTTCTTCCTAGCAACCCAGCCCAGCAGCAGGGAGCTGCAGAAGCCTCAGGAGCTAGAATTCTGCAGGCCCATGCAGTCTCCGACCCCCACAGCAGCCTTTGCCCAGGACCCGGTTCCCAGTAATATAATACTACCAAAACCCAGCTTCTCAGAGCCACCCAGGACCCAGGCAGATCTGCCTACCAAGGGGCAAACCAGCAGGAAGGGGGAGGCAGCCTCTGTTCCCCTGAAGGGCTGATCTATCAACCCCAACAGGGCTGGGCTGGAGCACAGCAGCCCCAATGCAGAGACTGGGCCTCTGCTACTCAAGCCGGAAGGACCTGCTCTAAAGCTGGTAACTAGAGCAGCTCAGGGCTCAGTGTACTCCAAGCTCTCAACACATGGGGGCAGGAATGGTCTCATCAGGTCAGCAGCCCCTGGGGCCCATCCCTTGGACAAGGGTAGCTCAGGCAGGGATGGAAAGATGCCCTGACAGCACAGAGCCCACTCGGGTGAGGCAGGGGAGGCCTGTGGCATTGACCCATCCCATCCATAGCTGAGCCTGGCAGCAAGAAACCAGGAAGTGCAAACAGCGAATGGGATTGTACCTCTGCAGATGCTTGGGCTACCAGAAACCTAACTGAGACTCCAGCCTCAAAGCCTAGGGACCAGACTCTCTGGAGGGGATGGGACTGGACTAGGAAGGGGAATCTGTAACCAGGACAGCCAAGTGGAGGCAGCTCCCGTCAGCTACATACACATCCTTGCAGGAGGTGAAGATGTCCTCCACCAGCTCCATGTCGTTGAGCATGAGGGCCAGGCGCAGTGCCTCCGGGAACCGCCCAAACTTGCGGAAAATGCCCAGGGCACAGCGCAGCAGAGCCGAGTTCTCAGGCTCGGGCACATAGCTCACACAGCTGTGGAAGGAAGAAGATAGGCCAGGGGCAAGTCCAGCTACTACCCAAGGTAGGACCCGGTCAGGCCGGCAGCTCAGACCAGATCAGCACCCCCAGCACCTCATGCCAGTGCTCTTGGGTAGCTGAGTCCAATGCTCCCAGCCACCTACAACTGGAAGCTGTCAAGAGAGGTAGAGCTCACTGGCAACATGCTCCCTCCTCTACAGCCAGCAGGAAATGCTGCCTCATGGGCCTCTGCCAAACATGGGCAAAACCAAGGTTCTGATCTCCAGCTGCAACATCCTGACTGAGACCCTTGATGCCTCCTGCCTCTGGTGGGTAGCAGCCTCCCCGCCCCCTCCTGCCTGCACCCCCAGCTTGAAGGCAGCCCGGCTCCTTCACCTGGTGAGGTAGAGGCAGACCTTGGCGTAGGCGTTGTCATCAATGTACTTCTCCAGCATGTCCATCTGCTCGATTTCCATGAGCAGGTCGCAGGCTTCGTGCTCTGCGTTATGCGCCATGTTGTAAGGTACAATCTCTTTGACCAGTGTCAGGAGTGTGTCCCTCTGGGCCTTGTCAGCCTCGTCGATCTCCTGCCACTCCTTTGCCACCTCGCCTGCCAGATGCCTGTTGGCATGAAGGAGAGAGGCCAACATGGCTCAGAGACGCCACCCTTGATCCCAAGAGCCCAAGGAGTATCTGGGGGCAGCCAGTAAGAGACTGAGGCGGTCCAGGCAAGCCACACCTCTGACTCGGGTGTTTGCATTCACACCAGCCTGGGAGGTCACTGCAGAAGATGCAACTGCCCCCTCCCCAATGACAGCACCGGAGCCTGCAACCCTGGCTGGGAGGAGAAGGGGGCCAGACTCTCCCATTCTTGGAGCTGAGGGCCTGGGCATCTCAGAAAGGGAAGGCCCCCAAATCCATGCTTCCCCAGAATCCCACCTGGTGAGCCTGCAGACCCCAAGGGTAAGCACTCCTCTCCACTGCAGGGAACTGCCTTGGTGGAAACAGGGCCATCACAGGGGCTGCCACAGCTGACCTCAGCCCCAAGGGCAGCTAGTGCATCTCAGGCTCTACAACTGAGTCCCCACCCAGTGATGAAGCGAAGAGATCAGCTTGGATGCTGCAATAGAAGCTCTCACCCTTCTTCCCTGAACACCCTGGCAACCCTCAGATCCTTATCACCACCACTGCTAAATGTAAAGCCAGGCACTCACTGCAGGAGGCATTTAGCCAGAGCTATTTACCACCTGGTAAATTTAGGCCTGAGCAACTAAGCAGAGGCTCCATGCTCAGGTCCAGATGCATCCACCCATCAGCACAGTTCCAAGATTTATAGTCAGTCTGGGAAATTCAGAAGCACAAGAGCCTCTGCAGGTAGCTGCCCACCTAGAGCTGGGGTCAAGGAACAGCTCAAGCTTGGCTTATAAAGGATCTATCCCATTCAACTGTTTCTTAAATAAAGTTTGGAAGCAGCTTCTGCACAGAAGTCAGTCTTGTCAGCTGCTCAAAGGATAGCAAAGAAAAGCTGTACCATATTCTCTCACATACAAATGCACTTTGTCCCCCTCAAACAGCTGATGGAAATCAGGATTTGTATTATACGTGAGAAAAATGCAAGTAAGTTCCTGCCACTTAAGTTTCTAAGTAACAGAAACTCTGCATGTAATCCTCAGGGTGGCAGGCTCAGCTGTCTTGCTGCTGCTCCTCATTTACTTAGTACAAGAACTGCCATTTACTGGGTCAGACCATAGGTCCATCTTGCCCAGTCTCCCACGTCACACAGAGCAGAAAGCAGATGTCGAAAGAGAGAAGGAAATGGGTCTGATCAGGGTTCCTCTCTCACTTCCAGCTTCTAGCATTTAAGATCTAGGACATTCTGATTCAGAGGCCATGCCCCTCACTCCCATGCTCAATAGCTACTGATGCCCCTTTCCTCCAAGTCTAGGGTTGCCAACCCTCCAAGATTGTCCTGGAGTCTCCAGGAATTAGATATAAATCTCCAGAAGACTGCCGAGAGTCACCCAGGAGACAAATGATAGGGCATTCGTTAAAATAAATATTAAATGTGAAATCCCATTTATATAGTAGTCCAGTAGGTTTTTAAAATGTAATAGTAATGTGCATTTGCCTTTCTGACATAATGATTCATTAATGTCATTATGTCATGTGATGAAACCTCCCAGAATAGATTCAAACAGAGTTGACAACCCTAGTCCATTCCCTTCATGAAATCTAGCTAAACTGTCAGGTTCCACCATATCTGCTGGCAACAAGTTCCACACTTTAAATTACACGCTGGGTGACAAAGAGCTTCCTTTTGTTCATTTTAAACTTATTACCTACTGGCTTCATTCTGTGACCTATCATTCTTGTATTGAGAGACAGTAAATAATAAACTCCTACCTACTTTCTCTTTGCCATTTAGCATTTTATAAGCCCTTCTCATGTGTCCCCTCTTTTCCAAACTGAATAGGCCTAGCCTCTTTAGTCTCTCCTCATGTGGAAGACCCTCCATACCAATAATCATCCTTGTTGCCCTTCTCTAGTTCTCTTTTCAAGATGTGGGGACCAGAACTGGGCACAGTATTCAAGGAAAGATTTATTTTTCTTTATTCTGCCTTTCATAAACAAGGTGCAGCCCTTACTCCAGGCTACACTGTACAAAATAAAATAGGGAATTTTTTCCACGTATATTTTTCAGTTCCCCACGCATGAAACTGCTGCTGTTTGGTGGATCTGAGTCAGAGCTGGACTGGGAGCTGGTCACTAAGACTGGCTAAAGAGGGCAAGGATACACACCAGAGAACAGAGCTGGGACAGGAGGAGTAGGCCCAGTATTTTTGCAGACATTAATAAATGCAGCTGTGCCAAAGAAAGGCAGCTCCACATTCATGAATATGCTGTTTAAACCAGGGGTAGGTAAAATATGGCCTGCGGGCTCAACCTGGCCCCCTGAGGGATTTTATTCGACCCACAGTGGGTCCCTTGGCCTCACCCAGTCCAGGTGCAGAGGGCAGCCCAGGCTGTGGCATATGCAGCCAGTCCCACTGCCCCCAAGCACACAGCAGGGCTGAGGAGGCATGGTGGCCAGACTCTTCTTCCCAGCAGCCCCAGTGGAGACTCCTTCCAGCTGCTGCTGCCAGTATCACAACCACCACAGGACCCAGCCCCGCTGCCTGGGCACCCCAGCCCATCCCCAGCCAGTGCCAGGGGTGCTGGACAGACTGGATAGGCAAGGTCTCCAGGAAGACAAGCCCAGGACTCATGTGAACAGGGCATACTTGGCCAGGTAGATGGGATGGGGCCAGGGTCCACGAACAGGACAGGCAGGTGGGGCAAGGATCACGGGGCCCATGACAGAGCCACAATTCGTAACACAGACCGATTTCATGGGCAGAGGCCTGCAAGGAGCGGATCATGGCTCTGCCCCAGCCCACCCTGTCCCTCCACCTCTCCACTCGCCCACATGCCCATCCCGTCCATCCAGCTGAGCATGCCTGCCCATGTGGGTCCCGAGTCAGTCTCCATGGAGACCCCAGGGCTGGGATCACCGAGCAGCGACAGCAAAGGACCAGGCCGTGAGGCAAAGCCACTTCGGGAACTCTGGCAAGCTGTTGCAGGCTGGAAGGGGCTGAGGGGCAGGGGAGGAGTTGGAGAATGCTGACACAGCCTGCAACAGCTCATCAAGACTTCTTAAGTGGCCCTCCATCCTAAATAATTACCCACCCCTGGTTTGAAGAGAGGCTTGAGAAGAGCTTCAAATAACAGCAAGAAGCAGAGGGACTCAAGGGACAGGGACAGACATACTGATGCTCAGCTTAGAAACAAAAGCCTCTGATCGTGAGGCCCCCCCCTACATGTTAGGGGCCTCAGCCAATTAACTGGTTAACTACAGTTATCTTGAGACCGGCTACATGTGCAAAGTAGCTATCGCAGAATAAAATGCTCCAGCCAGGTATAAAGTTAGACCTCAAAGATGTGTGCTAACTTTACAGCTGGTTGCTATTGAGCTTTAATTTGCACAGTATCTGTGGCTGGGAGCCCTGTTAGCTTACCCATCTTGCCCAGTGGGGAACCCCTGGGCCTGGGGGAATCACAGCTGCTCTGATTCCTAGGGCTCAAGTGCATGAAACCCCTGGGTCCACACAGGACTCAGTCCTGAATGCGCTGCACACCCAGCTGAGTCCTACACCTGACAGGCTCTTAGTTCCAGCTGTGCCTTGCATGCAGCCAGGACCCAGAGCCCCATCAGCTGCAGGGTCTCTCAGTCCCAGCTGTGCGTGGTCTCCACAGCTGGGAGATCCCTGAGCAAAGGGGCTCCCAGCCATGGGATCCTGCTTCTTGCCAATGCAGGTGTGGCGTAGCAGGAGGTATGACTGTGTGGATCGCACATTAAATCCAATTGTGCCTTTACCTGAGCGTACAGAAGGGGCCTGAGGTGCATGCACAGGGGCAGGCTGGGAGCAGACCCTCACAGCACATCTCCATGGAGCCCTTGCTAGGATCCTGTACTCAGGTCCGGGCTCCACAGGGAGAACGCCCCTTTGCACGGCTGTGGGGGGCCCCCAACTGGGATATTGGGAATCACATGACAGGTTGTGGGGAGCCCTGAGAAATAAATAACCAAGGGAAGGAGAGATGGGTTTGTCCAGCAATGAGGGAACAGAGGTAGCAAAGATCAGCATGGAGAGATGTGTATTACCACAGAGGGGAAAAGGACTAGCATTCAGGGAGTGCAGCTGGGATACACACTTGCAGGTAGCGAGAAAGCTGTTTAAAAATACTATTAGAGGCTCTAGAGGAGTCTATACCACCTATCAAGAGGGATACAGTTTAATAGTGGAGTTAAAGAGGTGATTTAAGGCAAAAAGACCTTGGAGTCAGTGTAGATTAGTCCTCCAAAAGAATTAGCTCAACATGCAACAGCAACAGAGACAAAAGTGTTGGACATCATTACAGAATTGAAAACAAAACAGAGAATATCATCATGTCATATGGCATGGTCTGACCGCTCCCATAGGTTCCTAGCTGAAATACAGGACCTCCATCTAACACAGGAGGTGCATAGCCCCACCAGGGGAGATGCTTTGTTGGACCTGGTGCTGGGCACAGGCAATGACTTGGTGAAGGGACTGTGGGTGCTCGACCACCTGGGCGACAGCCATCATCGCCTGCTGGAATTCACCACCCAGTGCAAGGTGGCAAAGGCCTGCAGCAAGACAGCAGCCCTGGACTTCAGGAGGGCGGACTTCAATG